TTAATTAGCCGTACCAGGCATTCATAACAGTAGCGCGTAATATAAAAAAACACTAAACGCATCGCGATATGTTAAACGCACCAGCTTAGGAGGTGATTTTTGACCGCACGCGCCGGTAAAAGCTATTTGGAGGTGGGGTCAAGAGGAACACCAGGGAGCTAATCAATAAAAAGTAACCCTATGTCATAGTCTTTCCCCTCATTGCGGAGGGATATTATAAGGTTATTTCTTTTTAATTAGTCCCCGGTATTCTTCTTACCATTGCTACCTATCCAAGTAGCCAAGACGGTCTCTGGATAGCTCTCGCCGGCGTGTGCGGTCACGAATCACCTCCTGAGCTAATGCGTGTACTCCGTGGTCTTGCATGACCAACTAGCCCTCTTTCTTTATTTTTTGAATACCTTGCGGGTGTGTGTTCTTGATGTTTGGAAGCAGGTGTGACCGGGCTTGGAACGTCGCGTTCAATTCAAACTGTGATAATCGGCTTGGGGACAATAAAGATCTAAAGTTTCTCACAAAATCTTCGGGGGCGGAAGGTCTATAAATACAAAAATTCGGTGAGGGCTAGTGCCTGAGGCAACCCTCGCTTAGGGCCGACTTCGGGCCTCGTGATCCTTCCTAATGTTACTCCGTACTGGTGTAACCGTTGTTAGCCCAACGCTCTTTGTTGTGGGCCAATCGTGTGGCAGCAGGTCGGTACGTACGTATTTATGTACTTTGTCCCGTAAGATAACGCGGCAGAGCGATCAAAGAACCCTCATGTTTTCATGACGAGTATCTCGGGAAGGAGAATAGAATGCCCCCTCGGAACCTCCCTGCTAGCTGCAGGTAACCTACACAAATAAAGCAATTTGCTACTTCCCAGAAAGTAAGCCGAGTAGGAATTGGCATGTTCACGTTTCGTTGAATTGACACCTTGTTTGCTCCTGTCTGCAGGCGCAACAAGAACACGAGCGCCATGCAAGCAAAAGCCCAAGCAGCAACCCGGGTCATCATCTAGCTTATATAGCATCCCAACGCCCAGAACTATCGCAAGAACCCTCGCCACAATAGTTCTGACACTTTCATCGAGTTCTTCAAGACCTGCCATGGATGCCCTGTAGCCTATGTTTGTCGAAACGACTCTAATGGCAAATGCCCCAAGGAGCAGTATTGACGTTTCCTCATTGGTAAGGCGTCGCCGGTGTCTCCTAACACTGCCCAGGGCTACTGGCAAATAGACGCTAGGTATGGTCTCCCTGTGAATAAGAATGCTTCCAGTCATAATAGAGCAAGCAGTCGCCTCATTGAGTGCTGCATATAGCCTGGCTGGAAAGACCATGGCTTCTCTGCATGTATAGATTTGCGCATTTTTGGCATTCGTTGAGCTCTCTTGGACTACTTTGATCGCTTCTGTGTATGTATATTTCATCTTTTTGAAAAGCATTCGCCGGTGCTTATATATCCCGCACTGGCAATCTTCGCGAGGTCACGTTTCCATTATGAATGATAACAGCTCTATGAAATATACAAAAACGGCAAGGCGTCCTAGGATGGTGACAGTTGTATCTGTATAGCATCAAACAATACTCAAATATGTCCAAGGACTGGTAAATTAGTACGTGCTTCGAACCCATGTTAGAGGGCCGATTCAGAACAAAACATGGCCTCCCACTTGCCTATCTTTACGCATACAAGGTTGCCGTTACGTACTTAAGTAGGTAAACCGTATTAGTGCTCTTTTCCCCATCACCACCAAGGATATCTTCCCCAGCTTTAACGTTTCGTTCTTGTTAGCCAATCAGTTTTCAAAAAAGCACATGATCAAACTATGCTTTGACATGGTTTATTAAGGACGTGCGATTCGAACTCCAAAGCAGTAAATATTAATGTAGTCAGGCGGGACGATATGCCAGCCTATTCAAATCATTTGTAAGTATTAGAGCCCTATATGCAAGGAAGCTATGGGTATCCCGCAAAACAGAGGTTGAAAGTGAAGCATGCGTCCTCCAAGCACATGAGTGTCTTATCAACTTACACAAGATAGGCGTTGGAAGCCTGACTTATTTAAACTTTGATCACACCCTTTCAGTCGCACTTTCAACTTCACATCTATTTTGTCCATCGTTGCTCAAAGCAGTTCTGAGTGACATACCCAGGCTCGTCGGTTGTGCTTCAACGCTGCGAAGAACGGGTTGTGATAAAACCCACACACACGTCGCTAGTACATCTTTCAAAATGGGCCATCCGCCCAGATTTAACAGTAGTGAGCAAAATCCAAATGACAATTCTACCTCATACTCCCTCAGCTTTGTGCCTTAGCAGATCCACGTCCGGTTTCCAGCCTTCCCACTTTCGACACCCGTGGAACTTGTAGAGATGCTGCCACATGTGATCCTTCCTGGTGAAGCTCCTGTCCTGAACCGCACGCTTGGCGCATGATTCAAACTCGTGCGACTGGAAATGCTCTTCTGTCGGGGATGATTGTCCGCAAAAGATACACTCTGCCTGTGTCTGACCCAGTCTCCAGATGACGTAGGGCTGCTCGGGCGGTAATGGAATGGCACAAACCCACGACGTGTCCCCAGGGGCATGGACCGATCGCTCATGTCGAAGCCAATCATATTTTTTGTTGAAGTTGCGCGAGCAGTAACTGCACGTAAAAGTACGAGCCTTTGATCGTTTCGATCTTGCCGATGCTGACTTCACCCATGCAGGATGGCCACGCTCTTCCAAGCTCCTTCCAGACAGAACGACGTCACTGTTAACAGACGCACGCGAGTAGTTGGATAAAGACCCATCCGAGGAGTAATGCAACGCCGACTGAGAGTACAACATTGAATCTGTACTTGCTGAAGACCCTAAATCATCGTCATCGCCTGGTGCCCCTATCTCATGGTGAATATTTGAGTTGGAACCGATTGCCTTCTGAATAGCCGCTTCTGAGACTGGTTCACTGTCTGGGGGTGAGTGCTTCCATCTTTCAAACGGAGTCATACTCGAAGTCATTAAAGAGCGTGGCATAGGCGATCCAGCTCGAAACGTCGCGTTGTTGACCATTGGTTGCGTAGACAAGCGATGGCGTCGTCTGGCGTTGGTGAACCAGTTGATAACTTGGGTCCTGCTTAGGCCTGATTGCTCGGCCAGCGTCATTTTTTCGTCATCCGTTGGATATGGGTGTTGAATATTGACAGCGAACCAGTCTCGTAGGATCTGTGTTTTCCGAACAGAACGAGAGCTAGACCTCTTGCTGGTCACTGTGAGCCTAGCACCTGCAGTAGGAGACGGCCCAGACAGCCCAGATGATGGACCTGCACCCGGATGCGAAATCTGATCCCAAGCCAACTGATTTTCTTCCTCATTGACTCCGTGTAAGTGTCCAATCACTGGACGTGAAGTCTCGAACAGGGAGTGGCCGCGCTTCGACCGCTCAGCTAGACTGCAGTTTCTAAAAAGTGCAACGCAACTAGAACAAGAATTGACGGGGTTGGGGTTGGCATCTGTAGTTTGGAGCATGAAACATTGTAAACGCAGACGCTTGCAATGATTGCAGGGCTCGGGGGGGCGCCAAGCTCCGTTCTTGGCAAAGAACTCCTCCATAGCTTCTTGATACAATGCCGGCTCTAATCCAGGAGCCGGCTCCTGAATAGGGAGGGAGAGAGAAAAGGCGGCACTGTCATATTCCCTAGTTGGATGCGGAAATGCAAGGCTCGTGTCCTGGGGCTCAAAACCGGGTATCGCCGACGAGAATTGCGGAGAGATGGCATCTTGGCTACCCATATCCGCTCCGAACAAAAGCGATTCAGACCAGTCTAACTCGGCAGGTAGCACCGTAGTCGCACCGGCAGCCGCACTGGTTCCGATGATGCTCTGCGGCGACTCCAAGTCGGCCGAGGTTGAGATGCTGGACACTCGACGGTCGTCATTCGCGCCCTCCAAGGTCGTGGCGTCGACCACGCCCACGAAGAAATCATTGTCGGTTGACATCTGCTCCTACAACCCAGGCGAACAGGCGACGGATTAAAGGATATTTGGCGTCTTACATAGCAATGGTTAAATGGCGAGGGCGACGTGATGACGTCTTTCTTGGCAAGTGAAGAAGCAATGTCAAGCGAATATTGGATTGAGAGGGGAGAAAATTGGGCTGAATGGCTTGTTTCTCATTCTGGCTGGATTCAGGGCCCAGGCAATCGGGCAATCGGGCAGACGGGCAGACGGATAGAGACCACCCTTGGCAAGCCTGCGCCTTGTCCGTGACGGACGGCGACCGGATGACGGACGGATCCCACTGTGAGTGAGAGGAGAGGCATGCGGTGGCGTTTTCCAGAAGCTCCAGTCTTCCCAGGTTTACCGGCCGACAACGGGCTGCAGGCTGGTTTATGCGCACTGAGTGTCGGCCAATAATCATGTGGTACGGAGTAGTACGGACTACTCCGTTGAAGAAAAAACAACGACTCAGCTTAAAGAATGTTGCCCACAGTGCATGCACCAAGCCAGTGCCGTGATCCGAATATTATCCGATTGTATACAATCTTGATATTCTGTCAACCACACGTCCTTGACGCCCTCTCTTATCTTCCACAGCCAAGATGTACGGCGGTTGCCAGGTCCCATTCAATCGAGTAGACATGGCTCGGTGGACTGGATTTACAGCCAAGTATAATCTGCCAACGTTGTGCCTCCCATGATGTGATGAGACATGTAGCCGTTCGATGGACGCTCCAAGAGGTTGACTTCTCTTGGCTTTCGGTAGTGGAACCACTGTTTTTTGTCTGTAGACACAGCGGGAAGGCGCGCGCACTCTGTGCGCAGAAGGCGCCTATTGTAAAACGGAAAAACAGCAAGATCCTCCCTCTCAGTTATAGATAAATATCATGTGTATTCTGTCCAGAGGATTGTCGGTGTTTTCTCTCACCAGGATCCAGAATCATCTGAGCACTGCTCTGGCTAAACAGGCTTGTTAAACATCTCCGCAATCCCTACTCTGTTCGTGTTGCTCGCAGAGATCTCGAGCCACTACTATGGCCTCGTCTCGAAGGGCTATGCAGCTCAACCCAGGTGCTGCCTCGTGGTGTGCAGATGGCTCCCTTTCCGCCGACACGAGGCTGGTTGACAGATTCCATAGCCAATTCCCCGATGGCTCCTCCACAAGGCTCGTGCGGCTTGACGAGGTTGCCAATCATCTCGGCATCAAGGCCGTCTATCTCAAAGATGAGAGCACGAGGTTCGGCCTGCCGTCTTTCAAGATCTTGGGTGCCTCCTGGGGAACTTTTCGCGCCCTGGTCCAAAAACTTGGACTCCCTCTAGATGCAGATTTGGCGGCAGTGAAAGATGCTCTGGTGCGTTCACCTATTCCCCTGTATGCAGCGAGCGAGGGCAATCATGGCAGAGCTGTGGCTAGGATGGGGTCTCTCCTGGGTGTGCCTGTCGAAATTCATGTTCCCTCAGATATGCCATCAGAGACGATGAAACGATTGGAAGAAGAGGGCGCCATAGTTTCCGTCAATGCTGGTACCTATGATGACGCCATGGGCACTGCTCGAGAAGCTTGCGCGGCAAGAGGCGGTCTCCTTGTGCAGGACTATTCCTTCGATGATTATAAAGAGATTCCCCAGGTGAGATTTCACATCTGCTGTGTCGGGTATAGTTGTGGTTTTCTAACTCTCACCGTACACAGTGGATAGTGGACGGATATTTGACAATGTTGCGAGAGATTGATGGCCAGCTCAATGGTACTGAAGCCGATCTTATCATCTCTCCAGTCGGCGTAGGCTCTCTTGCACAAGCAGTCGTCTCGCATTATAAAAGAAAAGCTTGCAAGACAGCCGTCATGACAGTTGAACCTGACACCGCAGCATGTTTGTATAAGAGCTTACGTGCCAAAAAGTCTGTTGATGTTCAGACATATTCCACTATCATGGCTGGCCTGGACTGTGCTACCTTGTCGCCCATCGCATGGCCATTGCTGAAATCTGGTGTGGACGCCAGTTTGACCGTGTCTGATTATGAGGCACATCAGGCCTCCCAGTATCTAAAATCTCGACACATATCAGCAGGGCCATGCGGCGCTTCACCTCTTGCTGCTCTCCAACGCCTTACAAGGAAGGATATGGCTGACTTGGGCCTTGGACAAGATTCTGTGGTGGTTCTTCTCTGCACCGAGGGAACCAGAAGTTATCGCATTCCCATGGACGTCTCCGTTGATGGCCCTATCGCATTGACCCAAGCTTTAGTCCGCATCGACTCTTCCAATCCAGCATTGGGGTCTGTGCCTGGTCCAGGAGAGACTGAGATTGCCCGTTATATTGGCTCTTGGCTTGAACACCGCGATATTGAGACTCATTGGATTGAGCCAACCAAGGGACGCCCGTCCATTGTTGGTATTGTTCGAGGTTCAGGCGGAGGCAAGAATTTGATGTTCAACGGGCATATCGACACAGTCACAACGCTGGGTTATGATGATGACCCTCTAGGCGGAGAAATCAAGGATGGGAAGCTCTATGGACGGGGAGCCGATGACATGAAGTGCGGAATAGCTGCTGCCATGTCTGCCCTGGCGGCTTCCAAGGCCCAGGCTCTTCGAGGCGACGTCATATTTACTGGCGTGGCCGATGAGGAAGCAACCAGCATTGGCACAGAGCAGGTTCTTGAGGCAGGCTGGAGAGCAGACGGTGCCATTGTCAATGAGCCGACTGGCGAAGAAATAATCCACGCGCACAAAGGATTTGTCTGGCTCGAGGTCGATATTCATGGCCTCGCATCACATGGATCACTGCCTACAGTTGGCATAGACGCCATTACTCGGGCAGGTTATTTTTTGGTCGAACTGGACAGGTATTCGCAGAACTTGAGCAAAGGCTGGGCCGATCCTCTCTTGGCTCCAAGTGTCCATGCATCCACAATCAAGGGCGGTGAGGAGGAGTCTTCATATCCAGCATTGTGCACTGTGGTGATAGAGCGTCGAACTATTGCAGGCGAGTCTGTCGATTCGGTAACACAGGAGCTTCAAACTATTCTGGACAATCTCGCCAAGTCAGTCAAGGACTTCAAATATGACTTACGGGTAACTTTTGATAGGGCCCCTTTCAATATTGAGCCCGAACATCCGTTTGCAACACTTGTGGGCGGCGTTACCAGCGAGGTGCAGGGAAGAAAGACCAAATTCAGCAAAGGACCGTACTGGACTGATTGCGCCCTGCTGGCTGACAAAGACATCCCCGTTCTTCTCTGGGGCCCAACAGGTGATGGGCTTCACGGCAAAGAGGAGTGGGTGGAAGTAGCCTCTGTCGAACGAGTGGCCAGAGGATTGAGGATGATTGCACAAAAGTTTTGTAGCTAGGCCCTGGATTCTCGTGTCACCTTCCAGCATATGTCAAGTGGGCTTGCACTCACACGCGTCCAGTTACACGAGGGGTGGCGGGGAAGGAGCAATGGGCAGATCGGTTGCAGGTCGGGACATTGCATTGGCCAGGTTGATATACATCAAGGTCGGCCTGCATGGCTATGAGTTTTGTGTTTGGTCTAATGATTATGGGATAGTCTGCAGTGTCCCTCCTAAATTCAAAGGCCAGTAATGTACGGAGTATGTGGGATCGGCCTCGGTAGCCAACGACCTAATCATGGACCTACGCCAGTCCAGACTGCCCAAACAGGATATCAATACAATAAACGCCGTTACATGCCGTTAGTAGGACCCTCAAACTCCAAGCTAGAAGAAAGTCATGATGTACAATACCGCCTTCATCTTCTGCAGTATTTGACCAAAGCATCGGCTACAAGGCGCCCGAACCGCTCCGGCGACTGTGTTGCGGCTTTTACAGGATCATGTATTGTAATCCAAAGGGTTCCCCAAACTATGTTGGCCACGCCGTTTTGAGACCCGGGCCGATACCCAAGCGTATGAAGAGCTTCATATACATGTCGCGTCAGTCGTCGGCGGGTAAGCGTACGCACGACAGCAGACATGCTCCCAACACTAGTGATCATAATCCACATTGGCTCTTGCCACGTTTTCTGGGCATATTTGGCCCGCTTCATTGGTGCCAGAGGGTGACCCCGAGGGTCGAAATAGCGGAGGTCGAACGGATGGATGATGTGTCGTGGACTATATGCCAACGTGGCGCTGAAATCTGAGGCAGCTCGGGATAGCTCAGAGCCTCCGTTGAAGCGGATCATTCGTCCATTGTCGGGTTCGAGGCCATGTTTGAGAAGAAAGTCTCGGTTTTGGGGCGTGGTCAGGAGCTTGCCATCGGCCTTGACGAAGTTTTTTACTTCTTCAGGTATGAATCTCTTGACGGACTTGGATTTGCTAGGCTGTCGCTTAGCGCTCGGCGGTCGCATTACACTCGAGGCCGAACGCTGCGTTGATGCGAACAGCCACAAATGAGAGCTCCTAGGCAACGTCGAGCTCGAGACCAGAGGTCGCCAGAAGGCTCTTGCTATCGCCATGTGAAGTTGAGCTGAAATCCGGCCGCTAGTTTCATCTTTGCCACTTCGAAGGCGAAATGAACAGAGCTGGCGAGGGACGGGCTCGAATTGGGAAGCTCGTGGCTGGCAAATCGGCTGGAGCAGAAAGGAAGTAATACTAGAATGAGTCGAGAGATTATCATGTGTGACAGAAGGACGTGTCGTCCAACCAACCAGACGTCACAACATTTGAAAACCGGGCCCACTACGGCGTACTCCGTAGTACCGGCTGCCGTACGTCAGGCACTGACTGGTACGCGCCACAGGATATCAACGGCGTTGGTTATGTAAGCGCGTCCCTTCAGTTTTGACCAAGCGTCGCCTCTTCTGCTAGAACGAAACTTATTATTATATTAGAGTAAAAAGTAATTAGGAGTGAAAGACACACGCGTTAATGGCATGACACTTGGATGCCGACACCAACCCAAGTCATCTCGAAGCCAGCCCATTGTGGACCGGCGGAACACAGAGTTCTTGGTGCACCCACGCCCACAAGCCAGTAGCCCACAGCCCACATTGTCTGCGCCAATGTGCATGCAGCCCACCATTGAGTCATCGCAGGCGCACGCACACAGAGCCCAACGCCAGATGGCGAAAAATTAATCACGTCCGAAGTTGGGAGGCGGACCAAAGTTGCAGACGGACCTGGGAAGCGGACCAAAGTGATTGGGAAGGAGCGATTCAAGCTCGGCGTCTGTACATGCACCCAAACACACAAAAATATAAATTCTCCACAGCACCGAGTGCCCGTCCATTCTGAAGTACTAACCGCCCGGCCTAGTCCTCAAACCTGCCCACTTACTTAAGTAATAAGTCCCCTTCCACAACACTACCGCCACCTTCAGACTTGACACCTCTCGAGCAAAGAACGTCGCGTCCACACCCCTTGCGCTTCAGCAAACCCCGTCCCGTGCGCGCAGCCGCCAGTCTACAACATCATCTCCATTGTAACGCGCATCACCGCTACCACAGTCAAATATGCCTAAGAACAAGGGAAAGGTGCGTTCACAAAAATAAGTCCGGCCTCTTGCGCTGGTTTTGCCCCGCCCCCGCCATTGTGTGCCGCCGTATCTGTGTGCCTCATAGCAGGCACTGATTGCCAATACCCTCAAAAAAACACGCCATGCTGACAGTTATTGCAATAATAGGGCGGCAAGAACCGCAGACGAGGTACCAAGGAGAACGATGACCAGCGTCGAGAGTTGACCTTCAAGGAGGACGGCCAGGAATATGCCCAGGTTATCAAGATGCTGGGCAACGGACGACTTGAGGCCCTTTGTTTCGACGGCAGCAAGCGTCTCGCCAACGTATGTAACAATGCACCCAAACACCCGCTCATCAGTCCTCATGCCATGGAGATGGATGTTTGTTTCAACATCATATATGGATCATGAAATGTTGATTCAGGCAAACATTTCCCGCCACAAAAACCAACATTGCCTCCATTCTATTTCCTCCTTCCATCAATCTACCTTACTAACTCGACCTCTTACAGATTCGTGGCAAGATGCGCAAGAAGGTCTGGATCAACCAGGGTGATATCATCCTCCTCTCTTTGCGTGACTTCCAAGACAACAAGGGCGATGTCATTCTCAAGTACACTGCCGACGAGGCTCGTTCTCTGAAATCGTATGGCGAGCTTCCCGAGCACGCCAAGATTAACGAAACCGACACCTTCGGTCAAGGAGAGGACGGCGAGGCCTACTTCGAGTTCGGTGACGCAGACTCAGATGAGGACTCCGACGAAGATGAGAAGAAGAAGGAGGTCGACATTGACGACATCTAAGTCCCCAGTCGTCGTCATCTTGCCGTGCTCATCTCCTCATCGGCAAGACCGCGGAGTTCCGGCTCGCCACCCGGGCTCTACCACCGTTCACCACATCTCTAGCCCAAAGAAACAACAAAGAGAAGAGAAACAGGGCTGACCACACTTTTTGCCTTTGCCATTTTTCTGTGTACCTCTTTGGGTTCTCTTTGCCGTCTCAACTTGCGCGCGCGCGGTTTGACTCTGTGTCACGAGTCCTCTTCCAGGTTGACCGTTCCGCCATTCCGCGCTGCGCGTGCGCCGGGCCGGCTGGGAGTTTGCTCACGGACACACACGCATCTACACTGTCTTCTCTCTCAACCCCTCTGGAAGCGAAAGAAGGAAAAAAAAGGGAGTGTCTTGTTCTTATAATGTTACTTTATTTTAGCACTTGCACCCTGCCTCTTTTTTTTTATCGATATTTGGTCTCCCTTGGGTCCCGCGACAGTTCTATAGCAGGAGTGGGGGTTTGGGGACCGCCGTGGTGGGAGAGACGTCACGGCGCGTCCATTTGTCATGTTTCTTTGAAGGTTCTTCAACTTTGTTGTCTTCTTTACAGTTATTATGAATATGAGCATCATGGCATTCCCTTTATCGCTTGTAGCGGGCCATCAGCAGTCTTTGCATGATAGATCAAGAAATTATGCCAACAAGATGAATCCACGAAAGCTAATGCCATATATGATCTTGAAGATTATCTGCTTTTTATTCTCCCTTTTGGTTATGTTTGTGTGTGTGTGTGTGTGTGTGTGCTATGTAGAGACCTCGACCACCGATCGAAGAGCCACATGGTAAATGAATGATAGTTTCCCTCAACACCTCCTATACATGCGAGCTACTGCTCCAAAACTTGCCATGCTCGCAGCAACTCGACACTAAACGTGGCATACCACCTCTTCCAGCCCCCGAATACACAGGTCAAGATAATGCGTTATAGTGTCTCCGGATGACATTGTGTAGCGTCGTGGTCTTAATCCCAGTCATCATCATCACCTTCGTCGTCTATTAGATGGTTAGTTTACTGCTACATATAGTACGTGTAGGATAATTCAAAACATACCACTCTTGGAAACTTTATCCTTTCTCTTTTTCAACGCAGCAGCTAAAGCATCTGCCATGCCGCCGCCGCCGCCAGCAGCAGCAACTGCACCAGCTGGTGGACCAGCACCTCCTGAATCCCCACCTGCGCCGACCTGCGCGGCGGATCGGTCTCGGATTTGAGTTCTGTCAATTTTCTTTAAGGACCCAATGCCACCCGCTTTTTGGATATCGCCCAGCATGGCAGCTCGACCCTTATCAGCTCCTGCTGAAGGGCCGGCTGGGATGCCAGAAGAGTAGCCTGAGTCGCGGTTTGGTGGTGGGGGAGGCGGAGGAGGCGGAGGAGGTGCTCCGCTTGAAGATGGCATAGGCGGTGGCAGTGGAGGAGGCGGAGGTGCTGCCGAACCGCTGGACGGCATGGGCGGCGGTGGAAGAGGAGCATTTGATGATGGTAACGGGGGAGGCGGAGGGGCGCTTGATGAAGGCAGCGGCGGAGGTGGAGGAGCGTTTGATGAAGGCAGCGGCGGAGGTGGAGGAGCGTTTGACGAAGGCAAGGGGGGAGGTGGAGGAGCGTTTAACGCTGGCAATGGTGGAGGAGGAGGAGGAATGCTAGCAGCAGCGGGAGGAGGAGGCATAGGTCTTGAACTCGATGGTGGGAGAGGCGGAGGAGCACTACTAGCTGGTGGTACCTTGGGAGGCAACGGCGGAGGTGCAGGAGGTGCTGAGTGAGAGTCGTTTGCTCGAGGCGGAGGCGGGGGCGGCACCGGCCCGCGACTGGGAGTCGGGGGAGGAAGGCGTTGGCCGGTAAAGGCGGGAGGAACGGAGAACCTGTGGCTAGAATTCTCGGGTTCAATAGGTGTCTTGGCCGGGCGAGGAGGCGGGGGAGGGCCCGGTACTGATGCTGTTGATGATGAGACCGTCTTCCGCCTCGGCTGCTCGACATTGGCGAATTTTCCTGCATCTGGCAACGGCGGAGGAGCGTTGAACTTGGGACGTGGAGGAGATGGCGGAGCTGGAGGAGGGCTTGCTTCTCTTGCTGGTCCATCAGCTTTAGCAGATCGTCTCGGGGCCGGTGGAGGCGGAGGAGCTCCGCGTTTGGTAGACGACGATGATGACGAGACACCACCTGGAGGGGGAGGAGGTGGTGGTGGTGCCCTAGCACCCTTTGAATCTCCTCCATTTGTAGGCGCAGAAGGCGGCGGCGGCGGCGGCACGGGTGAAGGATTGTTCAACTTGGCTTGCTCCTGTCGCAAGAAATCGACAATAAACTCTTGATTGTCCTTAATAAAGTCGTCAGTAAGACCTTTCTCAGTAAGGTCCTGTCCAAAATGCTCCCTCCACAACGGATCAAAGGCATCCAGCAAAGCAAACTGCGAGGGTTCAATGCCCCCATTCATACTTTGCGAGGACGAAGGCGAGTGGTGAAAGGGATGGGGCAATAGACTGGGCCTCGTTGATTCTGTTGGCGACGGAGCAGAGGAGTGGCGATGACCAAAAAAGCTTCCCAGCAAGCTGTGCTTGTGGACAGGTTGCGAACCTCCTCCAAAGGGTGTTGATTTCGTAGCTCGACTTGCGTTCTTTTCTCGCTCATCCATCTTCTTTTTGAACTGCTTGGCCTCCTTTTCGTCAACAAAGCTTAATCCGGCTAGGCAGTCTTCGAGTTCAAAAGTGTGGAAAAAGGTACGATCCTGGTTGTAGTGCCATGTGTCGTAGATTTCTTGATCCCAAATGACGCCTCGGTTGGTGGGCTGTTCGAATAAATGTATGTCAGTATAGAGGCGACAGCACAACTGAAAAAACATCAGAACATACGGAAATGTCCACCATCTTAAGCCAGTAGGTGTTGCCAACCAGGTCATTGGCCAGCACGATGGCGCCTTGCATGCCCGAGTAGGTCCATTTTGATCGGTTTGGATATGCGACGTAGAGTCTGGCGACTCCAACCGCATGGATCTTGTTGGACTGCTTGGGGACGAACCGCTTAACGGTGTCCTTGTCGTCCTCGTTGAGTATCGACGGCATGGCGATGGGAAGGTTGGTCTGCTAATAGGCTTTTCGTCGATGCTGATTACTCGAGCGGGCAACGAGGGAGACAAGACGGCTCTTTAATACTGTGAGGGCGAAGGAGAGAGACGAGATGAGGACTCATCTGCGAGGCTCTACTATACGGCGTGGGATGACGGTTAGGAATTGGGTCCTGCCGTCATTCGGGGCGGCTGCGGTGGGAGATGGTGTTGAAGTGCTGAAGTGGTTGGTCGTGGGCCAGCGGATGCGAGCGGCTACTGGTGCAGTCTGGCGCCTGGCAAAGGCAGCCGTGTAGCCCAACGTCTGCCTATGGCGGTTACGCCGGGCGGAGACAAGGTGGCTGTTGAAGGATGGCACAATTCCTGATGGTACGGTTCGCAGGAATTGACGTCGCGAGCCGCGTGAAGTGAGGTGAAGTTGGAGTGAAGACGAGTTCGGTGACAAAGTGTGTCTGGGATGGTACGTCTTTGGCTGGGTGGGTGGGGGGGAGCTGAGCTGAGCAAGCACTTGTGACTTGGGCACTGTCTGGCGGTTGAGGTCAAGAAGTCAAACTGGTCCACCGGACCTGACGGTGGGCGGTGGAGCTCGGACCAGTTCACGGCTTGGAGGCCCCGGGAGGGACATGCAGACTCTACCAGACATCTTGGGGCGTACGGAGTGCCCCAGACAAGGAAGGAACCAGACGCAACATTGAACATCGGGCACCGCCACGCAAGGCAACACATGTGCATACACTCAAGGGTCAAGAGACGCCTCAGGACTGGCGTCATCAGCTGCACAAATTAAACGTCATCAAATCTCATTGCGCGGTGCTCCATGTTGTTTTACAATAGTCTTTGGTGCCCTCTATGCATTCAACTCCTTCTTTCTCGCCTCGCGCTCTGCCTTGCTGCCCTCCTCGCTTGGCATATCCTTGGTCAAGGCTGGGCCCGGGTGAGCTTGGTGCGGAGCCACCTTGGGGTCAATACCGTGCTGGACGGGCTGCGTGGTGAACTGCTTCTCCTGTTGAATTGTTTTTAACATATATACGGCCAGAAAATGACGATGACGCGGGGCCGCAAAGACACTGCACGGGAGGGGGCAACTTACGCTGTCGGAGCTCGAGGTGGCCTTGTTGACTGCTTCCTTGACCTTATCCATGGTGACGAATGACGATGCAGGGTCTGGCGTTTGATTGGCGATGGTTTATACCGAGTACGTACTCTATGTATGTTTCAAATGCAGAATCAGTAGGTCCGGGATCACGGAGTGCTACTAGACAAAGAAAGCAAGAAACTGAAAACGGATTCAAAGGGTTGCAGCGAGTCTTATTTGTAGTTTTGGAAAGTATGAAACTGGTCCCGCTGCCACCAAACATGCCGATTAATGGATGACGTCGGGCCACCGAGGAACCGTCAAGATGGGGGGAGGCAACTGGTAGCCATTGGTGCTCAATGCTCAAGTCGCTCCCCTCGAGATACTTGACCGGCGTAAGCCTCTTTGATGGGCTTCGTGGAGCACTACGTAATGACTGGTCCCAAAGTTGTAGACTCCCATGTGCCCCTTTGTTCCTGCCTGTCGCGTGCTCGGCCTGCACGACATCACCACACAACCAAGTCCTGCCACAAACCAATCGGCTCAACTACTTACCCGACCGAGCCTTCTACGGCAGAGCCATGGCTATTGATGTTGAGAGCACGTTTAAGGGGCCTATCAAATGAAGAGTGTGCCACTCGTGATACAGCCGAGGCCCATTGGTTCGCTAGGTTGTGGGAGGCAACTAGCCACTGCTTCCTGGAAGATGGCGAGATATATCAACAGCGAAGCGGCAGCTAATGATGCTTTGATTCTTTTCAACTGAATCAAGTTTGGTGTCGAACAGTTTCCCAGAGTTTGCTGCTCGACATCATCTGACCACGGTTTCCGCCGAGAAAAGACATGGTCAAATACCAAAATATTCACGAATCATCATCATAACTTCACCGAAAATTACGGTACACTTTCTCTAAGAACAAAGAAACAAGTCCCCCCACCTTTATATTGCTTGCATTCTTGGAACGCCAGTTGTACAACCAACAAAATTGGATTTTCTCGCTTACAGAGTCCCCGTCCGCGTAAAATGGCCGCCGCTGAATGGCGGCCATCATCACATCGAATGGCTCTAATATTGTCGATAAATTATAATAATAAGTGTATATATACATGGCCATGATACAACGTCTCTGTCCTTCACCTCTTTGAAAGGCATGGTCAAAATGAGCACTTCACAAGAAAAGCTTGTGGTCTACACCCTGGACGGCGCAATCAATGATTTCTTCAAAAGCCACCCGAACGTAACCCGACAACAGTGCGATGTCTTGGCCGCTTCTATTGTCGGTGAGCCCGTCGAGCCTGTGCCCATCCAAGGCTCATTCAGCTACACAGTCACAGCGGGAAATGATCAAGCCAAGATTGTCCAATTCCGATCCCCAGAGTCGACATTAGACACCAACACTCTCGATCTAGCCAGAAATATCCACGGAAAGCTGGTCCCAAGCCCCATCTACCATGGCAGGATTGGACATCTCTCATCACAGCTACATGTCTATATCATGGATAAGATACCAGGGAATGTATATGTCCAAGCGCAATCAGACTACCATGTTCCTGTAGGGACCTCGCTGGAAGCCTCCCTCCAACACGCCAATACCGTAGCGGACATGGCAAGGTAAATATCAGTAGTAAACAAGGTGCAAAACCAGTCCGTCTCTTGCGCATTTCTGACACCAAGCATAGGTTCTTCGCTCAGTCGTGGAACAACAGGCAGACTACCACTCCCGATATCGTTCAAGCCACTCACAACGACTACCGACAGAAACTTCAGCTCCTCTCAGAAGATCTTCCCTCTCGATTCACACAGAACCTCCAAAAGGCCATCGGTGGTCTGGAGTTGGTCTTCACGCCGGAATACCCCTGGGTTCTCGGCCACGGAGACCTCAGCGCACTGAACATCATGACGGAACCTTCTACCGGCCACATCACGGGGATTATTGACTGGGCTGAAGCACAAATCCTTCCGTTTGGCATGAATCTATGGGGTCTCGAGAACGTACTAGGCTGGATGGACTCCGCAGGCTGGCACTACTACAGCAATCGTCGGGCCTTGGAGGAGCACTTTTGGCAGACTTTCCAAGAAAATGCCATGGGTAGCGGCGCTGCTGAGATGCAGCGGATTGGGATGGCAAGTATGACTGGTACCTTTCTTCGCTATGGCTTCCGCAGGACTCGGGGCACGGATGTGGTAGATGAGGGTTCTTCGTCTTTCAAATACCTCGAGGCATTTTGCTGCAGCGAATCCCGGACTCAAATCATACACTCGGAGCAGCTATAGCCAGAGTAATTTTTCTTCTTCAAGTAGCAGTTTCTTCACTGTACGTTCTCATCTCCTCTGTGAGCAAGTACCCTTCAATATTATAAGACAAGTCCAGTGCAATGTAAGCCTTCTTGGCCTGAACTGATGCGATTTAAGCAGGGTGCACCCAAGTTAATTGTACCACGATGGCCTTGAAGAAAGACTATTTCAGCCGGTTTGTTTAACAATAAATGTCAACTGGTATGTAAAATGAGCCGTACTTTTCTGCTGAATGCTGTCTGGTAGCAAAAGGCCCTACAGCTTAAGGGGCTAGTAGCCTGAACTAGGTTCAAATGGTGGCACGGCAAGTGAGCTTCTGTAGGGGTGCTGAGCGTAACGGCTAGACCAATCAGACTCCGCCCTTGTTTCTGCGGAAGCCTAGAACTGCACTGAGCCACGGCGCATTCAAGGTGCCAGGCCGCTTCATTGAATGTTCACGTCAAACCAGACCGGAATCTCATCATCATCCATTCACACATTCACATCCACCACATCACCCGGTTGCCCGCATGTCTGCGAATAATGCCCCGCAGCCAGTCAAGCTCTCCTTACCCTTGGTATGCTACTCTCAATCTGATGTGTGACTAAAAGACTGCATCGCATTTGCTGACCCATCTTTACCGCAGGAGTATCAACAGCATCTCTTCCAAGAGCTCCGGGCAGAAGATGAGCTCGTCGTGCTGGCCCGTGGCCTGGGGCTGATGCGCCTCGTCACAAACCTACTTCACTCCTATGACGCAGCCGGAAATAATCTCATAGTCATTGTAGGTGCCGAAGAGCGTGAAAATGGCTGGATTGGCGAGGCATTGGCCGAGCATGCCGCCATCAGCGCTGCTCCCAAGGCCCGGGGCTTGACAGTTGTGAATACCGACTTCCAAAGTGTCGGTGCACGCGAGAAGATGTACGCCGGAGGCGGCATATTCAGCATCACTTCGCGTATCCTAGTTGTCGACCTTCTTACCGGCCTGCTGGATCCAGAGTCAATTACGGGGCTCGTCGTGCTTCACGCTGATCGTGTTGTCGCAACTTCACTCGAGGCCTTCATCCTTAGAGTGTATCGGCAGAAGAACAAGATTGGGTTTCTGAAGGCGTTTTCCGACAACCCAGATCCTTTCTCTACTGGCTTCTCCCCGCTGTCGACCATGATGCGAAATCTGTTCCTGAAAAGGGCATCGCTGTGGCCGAGATTCCACGTCACTGTAGCACAGTCTCTCGAAGGCAAGAAGAAAGCCGAAGTCATCGAGTTGGAGGTACCCATGACAGATTCGATGACGCATATTCAAAACGCCATCATGGAATGTGTTGAGGTCAGCATCCACGAGCTCAAAAAGGGCAACTCGGGCCTTGAAATGGACGACTGGAATCTCGACAGCGCTTTGCTTAAAAGCTTTGACGTCATGGTCCGACGACAGTTGGATCCCAATTGGCACCGTGTGAGTTGGAAAACACGGCAGATCGTAAACGATCTCACAGTGTTGCGCGGTCTATTGACGTCCGTCCTGGCATATGACGCAGTGTCGTTTTTACAGCATCTTGACACCATCCACGCAGCGCACTCACCTCCGCCTGGATCTTCGAGACAAAATCAGTCACCTTGGCTATTTTTGGATGCCGCACAAACAATATTCGACACGGCGCGAAGGAGGGTGTATTCGGCCAGCGCAAAATCAATCTCACAAAGTGGCGATAATATCGACTCTTTGCGGCCAGTCCTCGAGGAGCTGCCAAAGTGGGCTCTGCTTGCTGAAGTGCTCGAAGAGATTGACAGAGATCTCTACTTCGAACCACCTGCCAGAGACGACTCAAATGGGACTATACTCATCATGTGCTCAAACACGGATACCTGTAGACAACTCCGCGACTACTTGCAAACAATGCACGTAAAGCCCAGGGTCGCAACTCCCACCACCACCGCGGAAGATGAAGAAGATGCCCACAAACCATCGGCTGCTTTCATGATGAGAAGACGTCTACGCAGCTACCTAACCTGGAAGCGACAGTTCGCCCAAGTCAGCGCAACGCTCTTCTCCGAGAACCAAAAGGCCCTCAACGGCGCAGCTGATTCCCGGCCTGGCCATGCTGGCATGGGCCGTGGTAAACCTCCGTCGAACAAGAGGAGACGCGTCCGTGGCGGAGGTAACGCCGGTGTCTCGGCCGGGCGGACCGACACTGGTGTTATTGCGCAGTACTTTGAGAAGCCAGGCGAAGTGGCCCATCTCATGGCCGAAGTCCAGATCACGGAAGAAGAAGCCCAACAAAAGGACGACATCATCGCCGACCCACTAGACAACATGGAAGATTACTATCAGCTGTACGAAATGCAAGACCTAGTCGTGGTCCACGCCTACGACGGCGACCAAGACGAGCACGTCCTCGAGGAAGTCAAACCCCGATATATCATCATGTACGAGCCAGACGCCTCCTTTATTCGAAGGGTAGAAGTCTACCGCTCGTCACACAATGACAGAAACGTCCGTGTCTACTTCATGTACTACGGGGGCTCGGTCGAAGAACAGCGCTACCTTGCATCAGTCCGTCGAGAAAAGGACTCGTTCACAAAACTTATCAAGGAACGAGCAAGCATGTCCCTCGTCATGACGGTCGACCCTCACGGCATCGAAGACCCGCAAGAAGCGTTCCTCCGCACAGTCAACACGCGAATTGCAGGCGGCGGACGGCTCGCAGCGACAGCCCAACCGCCGCGCGTTGTAGTCGACGTTCGAGAATTCCGCTCCTCCTTGCCATCCCTCCTCCACGGCCGGTCCATCGTCATCGTGCCCTGCATGCTCACAGTCGGCGACTACATCCTCTCGCCCAACATTTGCGTGGAGCGTAAATCCATCAGCGATCTCATCTCGTCCTTCAAGGACGGGCGTCTCTACACGCAGGCAGAAACCATGTTCCAGCACTACAAGTCCCCGATGCTGCTCATCGAGTTCGATCAGAACAAATCCTTTACGCTGGAGCCCTTTGCCGACTTATCAGGCAGCCTGAGCAGCGTGGCGCCCACAAACGTGTCGTCCGACTTGCAGTCAAAGCTCGTCCTGTTAACACTCGCCTTCCCCAAGCTCCGCATCATATGGTCGTCATCGCCCTACCAAACCGCCGAGATATTCGAGTCTCTCAAGGCGCAAGAGGATGAACCGGACCCGATTGCAGCGGTGCAAGCAGGCCTAGACAAGGACATGAAGGCGGAAGACCAGGCGTTCAACCAGGAACCGCAAGAGATGCTCACCAAAGTCCCTGGCGTCACGCCCAAGAATATCAAAACCCTCGTACTAGAAACAGAGAATATCAAAGAGGTGGCCAACATGTCAGTGGGAGACCTGGAGCCCATGGTTGGAAAAGTCGCCGGCAAGGCCATACACGGATTTTTCAACCGCAACGTCATGGAAGAAGACGACTAGAGCAAAGGAGACCACGGTCAAATCAAATAAAAAAAGATACCCATTAAGAATCGTAAAAAGAAGAAGAACTAGGGTATAGACGTCGTAACACGGGTGGGTATCGATGGTACCACCACCTTCCAAGCTCTGATGGCAATCTCATTCCTTTCCCCTCTCCCCAACCGTCGCAATCAGTAGCAGACGCACTACACCCTACTCCTCCTCATTCCTCCATGTCGATGTCCGCCTCCTCTCCGCCCGCAGTAGCCGCAGGTCAGGAACCGCACAATGATGCCGCAGAAGGACACCACGCCGCTGATAATAGCCTGCAGGATGCCGCCGATGCCGCTGACAATTGCCATGATGCAACTGCCTATCGTGGCGAAAATGGATTGAATCTAAAAAGGAGGCCGTCAGCTGCGCTCTTCACAATAGGAAAAAAAGAAAAGAAGAGAAAAGTCCGACTCACGCAAGAGAGTATGCCGCCCATGGTGACAGTGGTAGATTTTGCAGAATGGATGCTTTCAGCAGCGTCAAAGTTGGGTATGTCTTCCAAAAGGCGATGGCTGGATTAGAAGGGAAGAGTGAAAAAAAGAAGGCAGGAAGCCGTCCGTCACGCAGGTACGAGCAAATGTTTTTATACCACGTCACTTACACCTCACCTCACCCAACCTCGTTCTGCCCAAGCAGCCCAAACACGCCGACTGCCGACTGACGTCAACCTCCGGGAAAACACCCGGCACAAGACCCCCAGATTTAGAAACACAAAAAAAACACGGGCATGGGGGGGTTTTTTTTTTCTTTTTCGCTATCCGTGTTCCAGGCCGGTGCATTCGCTCCGGGACTCGCCCAAACAGGCAGCTGTCAGCGGTTCAGGGGACGCGGCCGACCACTCAGCGTGCCGCGTTGCGTCGAGAAGCTTGTTTTGGGAAGTGCACATCAACCATGACGCCAGAGACTTGGCTCGTCCTGAACCGTTTGCAACAGGGAGCCGGGTGCGGGCACAGGTGATTGGCTTTCTTAGAGACCATGTCCCGTACGAAGAGGGGGCGGCGATGTGATGCACACCGTTTGGTGGCGCGCGTGGAAGAGGGAAGTGCGCCGTTACAGATTGTTCGACGGTCGCGGGCATGACGTCAGCACGCGGCAAACGGCGACATTGCGCATTGTCTCGCTGCGGTCGGAAAGACGGCCAAAAGGGCCTGCCTTGGATGTTTTCCATGTTTTGCACTTGCGGAGGAAATTGCGCGGCGGTTCTCTAGAGGCACAGACCCAGCTACTTGTAGGGTGCCAAAGACCAAAGGGGTCTATGGTAACCCTATCACTGCGTGGGTTACATCATATACCACACTCACGCTCGAAACCCCTGGGGCCTTTTTTTTTTTTTTTTTTTTTTTTTTTCCATTTGATGTATATCATTATTGGGAGATCTTCTAAAACTCAGGGCTAATGCGAATCCCTATGTACATACATATCACGGATATCCTACTTCCAAATACGCGCCACCGATGCCATGGAGGCAAAATAAACACTCGTAAGAACCCGCCATGCAGAAATCCCGCTCGTAAGAGGAATGAAAGGGAGAAACAAAAACCAGCCAACGCCATCTATATGCCTGTACAGTCGTATGTCGCGGGGTGAATATATGTACTCGCTCGTTTACATGGTCCACTTAGGCCTTCCAGAACGTAAGCCAGCTTCTTCGCGTCGCCATGGCCTTCTGCATGTGCGCCCGACGGAGCATCTCCCTGTTCCTAGAGTCAAGAAGACCCAGCGCACTGTCGTCGTGGTACTGGTACTGGTACGGATACTGGTTGCCGCGAGGAACGTGTGGCCGCTCGTTGCGCATCATCTTGATGCGCTGCACCTTGCGCAGCTTGATCAGCCCGTACCAGCACACCATGATGGACGCGACGGTTGACATGCCCGTGACGGCGCCAAAGCCCCAGTTTGTTTCTTCGATGAAGTTCTCCAGGTTCATGCCGTACAGGCCGGCGAGGAAGGTGCCCATGGCGAGCCCGAGGGTTCCCACGCTGAATTTGAGGTCTAGCAGCATGAGTGCATTGCGGTTGGCGTCGAGAATGGCGCGGACGCTGTCGGCGTGTTAGCTACGTGCCTCTCCAAAGAGAGCAGGCCTTGTGCCACTTACATTTCCTCCGTGTTCCTGATTCCAGACACCAGGTTGCCGGCCTCTTGCACGATTTCGTCGGTGAGCTTGTGGTATGACTCCAGCAGCATTTCCACCTCGGTGTGGTCGTCTAGCCCCCTGTACAAGTCGTGTGTCTTCTCGGTCAAATACATGGCCGCTAGGTCGTCATCCGCCTCGAGGAGTTCCTCAATGGCGTCTCGGACCAGCTTGGCCTTTTGCTCAAACGTGCTCACTCGCTTCGACAAGATGAGGAGTATGCGCAGCTTGTCTCGGTCAATGTCGTCCTCTAGTTCGCTGAGAATGCGCATAACTGGTTCTCGCACGGCCTCGAAATCGGCTTCCATTTCCGACGTCACGGATGTCAACACAGCTTCCAGGGCACGGAACTCGTAGGGCAGGCTGTTGGAGCCTTGGGCCGTCTTTTGCTGCAGTTTCCCCTGCAAGTCATACATGAATGCAGACTGCGGATACGATGTCTTTGACCCATATACATCGAACAGGAGGACGCGGTCGTGCTTGATGAGGACCTTTAAGTGCAAAAGGTTAAGGAGAATAGCCGAGGGTCGGATGAGGATATGCGGCAGGTTGGAGGAGTCGATTTTTCGAAGATCTCGGGGGTTGAGCCCAAACTTTTTTTTTTTTCGTAGTTAGCTATGCGCCTGAGAATGTTTGAGTGCCGTCATTGCCTTTACCTTTGCAATCAGCTCCGTCTTCTTAAACTCCCCATCCACGAGGATAACTTTGCCATTCTCATCCACTTCGGTGCATCGCAGCCGAGGCTCCAAAGCTGCCTTGGCCGCCAAGGCCCGGCGACTAGTAAACATGGACGAGCCATGCTCAAAGTCGTCGTGGACTGGAAGGTCATCTGGCTTTAGCAGCTTGGGTCCCTTCTTGGCGCTCGTCCCCCAAAGCTTTTCCTGCCATGTAGGTTCGTTGCTTGATTTCGGCTCGAACAGCTTGCGCCCAGCTGCCGTGGTGCTAAATCCTAGCGAGGCCGATTTTGTTGGCGATCCGTTTCGGAGGGGATATTTGACGGCACGAAGACCAGAACCAACATGGCGCTGGCCCCCAGGCGTCGTCGGCAGTGAGCTGAATGATCTGGCGCCCAGGGAATTCAGGCTCCCCGACGCTCTCGCTCGTCGACACACTCGAGCGCCAGCAGCTACCAAGCTATTCGGGCGGCCGTGGGCCAAGAAGGCGGCGTCGGACTGCAATTTCAAGAAGCGAAGGAGGTTGCGGGACGGAACTGGCGATGGCAAAGCTGGCTGCATCGCGGGCTGGTCTACCAACGAGATGATGCAGAAATCCAGGGGTCCAGCATCGGACGCGACGACAGCGGCGAGGGCTAGCCGTCAAAACCTGGAACGTTATCAGGATCTGCCGTGATGCAGTCGTCTCGTCCAGGTAGGAGAAATATGAGACTCGGTGGAAATTAATTTAGTACCTCGCAACATCGGAAATGCACGGGCTTAGCGCGTCTCTCTTTTTTTTTTACTGGTTGGACGGCAGGGGGTCAACTGGTCCTTTTGGGCCCTTTTAGCCTGCGCATGTGCAGCCACCTGCCGATCCATTCAAACTCCTCCGTTCTAGACACACTTGACAGCATCGCAGTCATCTTGTACAGCTTCAATTGGCTTTTGGAACACCCTTCGTCTCAATCGAAAGCCGAGTATTTCGACGCACCTCCCACAAACGCCATGGCCTGAGCTCGGGCTTGCAGTTGCAAATTCCGACTCTGGGCTTTGTGAGAGGCAAACAATGGAGCATAATTTGCTCTCGGAAAATCGTCAACGTCGCGATGCTTCTGACTCCCGTGCACATAAGGGGCAAACGAAAGCGCGATCCGCCACCTACGCCGTCTTCCGTGGCTGCTGCAAACACAGACAAGGCGCCAAAGAAGATGAAAAGATCGCTTGCGTCCCTCCGCGCCAGCCGCCTATCTCGCCATCGCACAGTCCTGGAGTCTCTACCTGCCGAGCTGCTGGAAAGCATACTCTTGTACTCGGAAAATCTCTCGCTTCCTCGATCAAGTCACCTGATTGGTGCCAAACTCTCTGGCCGAGCTACGATGCTGCGACTGTTCATGCTGGCTTTCCACGACACCTGGAACCAGTGGTTTGGCATTCCCAAGACGCAGCTGCATGGGCCGAGACCAAAACAGAAAGAATGGGCGTTGTTTGATGGTGATGCCCTGTTTCAGGTGAGAATGGAATCATTGCCCTTGTGCAGCTTTTCCTTTTCCTTCTTTTTTACCTTTGTTTTGGACGAGCATGGCATCTAACCGATGTTAGTCTGCAATGCTGGAACTGCCTTGGGTAGATGTCGACTTCATTCTTCAGGCACAACAAGCCTGGTCAGACAGATATGCTCGAGGCAGATGGTATCAACACAGCGTCCCATTTGAAGACGGCTACGATCAGCTGAATCACGACCACCAGGGTGGATTCGCGCACTTCCATGCCCATGACTGCTTCGAGGCAGACTACAAGCGAGCACTTCAATGGCCAGCCTTCAAAACCGAGGCCATGAGCTGGGGCACACACGACCTACACCCAAGGGCTCGCTTACCCGTGGATCTAATCACAGGCCCGTGGGACGAGGAAAAGAAACGGCGACTATTTTGGCTTGCCCGTGGCGGTTTTCAAATGGGCGGCGAGGGTCAGAATCCAGTCCCTTGGGAAATCAAGTTGAAATGTCTCGAAAATGCAGTCATCAATGCAGAAGAGCCCGATCCACTCATCATCAATTGTCTAATTGGGAATTGGATATTCCTAGATTTACCAGAAGACATTGTGCGGAAACACCTCATTAGTCTCGACAGACGTCTTGAATGGGGAGCCGATGAGCCTGCGAGCAGGGCTATTCTCCGACGAATACGAAATACCCTCGACATGTTTATGCAGCTTCCACAATACCATCACATGCCGGCTTGACGCACGGGACGAAACGTAACTCAGCTAGCATTGAGCTTTGTCAGCCGCTGCCAAGCAACAACAGGTCGACAACTCGCCTCTCTGACTCATGACGACTCATTCAGCCCATCCGAGGTAGCCGGAATGTGGTTGTGCGGCGGTCCCTATACTCAGTCGCTCGCCGGAGCGTGCTGGGGGTATCGTGTGATGTTCGCGTCCCACTCGCGTTATGCTCTCGGCATGCGCGCACAGCATCGATTACTCTGGCACTAATGACGCTGTATGGCTCACAATCTATCAGGCACCATCTCTTCATCCTATGTCCTGGGGGTGACGCCCCGCCTAGCCCAAGACTTCTCGCCGACGTGACTAACACGGCAAGGGGCTGAGACGGAAACACCTTCCAGACCGGCGGCAGACGTAACCAAGAGACCAGATTGAGAGGTTTGTAATGATTTTGGCCGAGGCATACGACTGGTCAACCACGTGTCGGGTTGTTTCCAGCGCACTGATTATGGCGGCATTCAATACGTTCAACTCGTCCGCAAGGCACACAGGTCAGCCAAGCGAGCAGACGCACCAACGCATTGATAAGGATTCAAGTGTGGCAAACAAATTGGCTATAGACCAGAGTATTATGTTGGGCTGAATGAGATGTATGGAAAGTGAAGAACGTCAAGATCTCCCTATCGCGAGCTACGGGTTCAATTTCCACCTCATCTTTGGCCATCTATCACGGATTTAAAATACCGCATAAAAGAGACGACCAGTCCACAATACTACACCATAGATTCATAGCAATGTACCAAGGTGAAAACTGGTCCACTACCAGAATGCAGACTCCTAGAATCTACGCAGAGAAAAAAAACGGCTTGGCCCGCCACAGAGGCAGCGAAACTACTAGCCGGACTGGATGGTCCTGATGGTCGGACAAGACGGCTTCACCAAGTGTCAACCCTGTCACGACGGCCTACGCCTCTGCCCGATCCAAGTCGGCTGCCTACAAGATGCAAGGACTCAGTAAATGCCAACTTATGCCCAGGAAAGATGCTGTCTGATGAAAAGTACCCCAAGGCTCCATCCAGAGCCCACGTAACGCTCCCAACATCTCGCCACGCAAGGAGTCAGCACCAAACCGCGATGCTAGTCACCATCTGGCTGACGCACCCGCATCCCAGGGCATCAGAGCGAACACAAAAAAAAAATTGGCTCGTAGTATTGTCACGCTGACCTTGGCGCAAGTCACCACCGGTCCGCCGCACGCTCGTCTCACCCCGTCGTGAACTACACCACCCACGACGCCGCCAACATCTCACGCACACTCGAGGCATCACGATTCATCCGGCAATCAGGACTCTCTGTACAGAGTCAGAAATCGGCTGTTCCCACAGTTGAGCAGAGCATGACCTCTCCAGCTGCCAGGCTGCCGGGCTGCCGAACCAGGCCATGGCTGTGGTCAAGACCGACTCGAGCATAGAAAACAAGCTTCCTTTGTTCCTTCATCTCGACGAGTTGCACGCTGTTGGATCATTGCGTTCTCCACTGACTGACATGAACCATTTAGATGAATCCACTATTTACTTAATGCGGCAAGTTCGCAGACTTGAGCAGCACCTGACTGGTGATGGACAGCGCCGCATGTCTCAGTGACTCACTCGGGAGCAACGGAGGGAGGGACTTTTCCAGCCCACCTCCCCCCTTCCCGCCTTTCTGAACACTTGTCCAAGGCCAGCCAGGCTGGGCCTTTCGGCGTTTTCCGGAATCTTCACGATGCGTGGTGCGACCTTCTCCCGACCAGAGTGGCGGGATCCTCCCTTTGTGTAAGTCACACCACCTTTGAACGAATCAGTTGCAAAGTTGAGCCACTTGTTGCGCAAGGATTCTCAGATCGTACACGTCAAAAAGTAAAACGATATTTCAGGCAAGGGAATCAACTTTTTGTTTGAATTTCTCTTTTTGGCTCTTCTCCGCATGCCTCGGGACGAACCTCATCTACCAACCTTGAAGCTGGCAAAACAGGCCTCCCGTGGCTCGCGAGTGCCCACTATCTTCGAGGACTCTTCCAAGCTAGCTATTAGATTTCGCCATAGCGTCATCGCTCTCCTCGATCTGAAACATCTTCTGGTTCCTAGACCTCGACTTTCCACAATGTTTCTTTTTGGTGTCCCGGTCCGTTAATTCACATCAGCAGCACCAGATATGCCTGTCGAGGAGGTCGAGTGGGGTCATTATTTTAGTTGCATGCGAGCTTTTGTTTTGGTTTCAAAAGAGTCGTCAAGTTCATGTTGATTATTGTCTTCTTGGTTTGTTTGAACGTGTGCGAGGTTGCTTTGAGCGCCTATCTGGTGGTCGTCAAGAGTTCCTAGAGATACAAGTGGCTGTCGTGGCCCGGCCACTATTAATCGCGCTTCCTCTTTCGTCTTCGGCATATGCTGGCGTCCTGTACTTTGAAAGAAATCGCCGTAGAGGTGCCCTTGATTATCCCCTCCCAGAAAAAAATGAATGAAAATAGCAAACAAACCAAGATGCATGCATGAGTCTTCTAGTCGTACAAAGCCGCATCCGCCTGCCACCATGCTTCCCCTTCTTCTGCCCCTATCCATCACCACAGAATCAACCAAAACAAAAACCACTAAACCCCCACTTCCGCTTTCCGCATCAGTACGCCGTTCCTAGGATGATGCATGCTATATTAATGCGTTTTGCAGCCAATGTCCCTGGACGCCATCTGCAGGTTCTATAGAACAAGAAGATGAGACGAATCCGCCCAAGGTTTTGTGGTATCAAAAAGCTCCGATTGGCAAATGACTCCCGTCCACCTCCGTCCTATGCCGAGTATATAACAAAGAGAACCCAGCAATATAAAAAAAAATGGCAAAACCAATAACAAAAAACAGCGATAAGCCTGGATGTTGCTGTCCAGACTATGATGAGCTTGCATGATGACTGTCATGCATTCTGGTGTTGGTGTCCAGTCGCGTCAAGTTGTCGAGATTGCGCCACTAGTCGAGAAATGCTCCAATATCTCAGTTAAGAATACCATCCCATATGCCAGGTCCTCGCAGACTGATGGCGGGGTGAACGCTAGAAGTCTGATAGCCAGTAGCAGCTTCTGCAGAGCAGCACACTCGCTTTGCGTTGCGTCCAAAGGTGGGGTGGACGGGAACCTGCAGGTACGACTCCGAGGCGATGCCCCGGGAGCGCACAAGGGTGTCGGGCCATGAGGGTTTGGGAGACTCATAGCGGCAGCTGAGGATACCGCGAACATTTTCCTGCAGAGAATCGTCAATGGAAGGCGCACGACTTCGCTTAGAGCCAACCTTGGCTGTAGTGGGCGTAGCGTCCGCAGACACGTCGTG